GGTCAGAAGATGGGCCTTAAGGATTCACGGCCAGGCTTGGGGTGATCACCCCCGTGTTGTCTGATTGCCCTGAAGCTTCTTTTCCCTTGCTGCCACGGTAGCCCAGCCTTGAGTATCCTTGCATGTTTTTTAAAAAATCTATTTGTTCATTCTTGGGGGGGGAGGCGGGGGCAGAGAGAGAGGGAGAGAATCCACACTGTCAGCACAGAGCCCGATGTGCGGCTCGGATTCACGAGCCTTGAGATCATGACCTGAGCTGAAACTTAAGAGTCGGACGCGTGACCGGCTGAGCCACCCGGGCTCCCTTGCGTGTTGGATTTTATCTGCACCTCCTTGACCTGCCTCCACACCGTGGCAGGAACGGGGCTCCGGGAGCTCGAGCGGTAATCCTGCAGGGCTGGCGGGCACGTCCCACGGGACCTACCGCGTGGGTCCTGCGACCGGTCAGGTGCATGGCCTCTGTGCAGCGAGGGACGCACTGGGAGGCTCGCCCGGGGGAGCTGCAGAGGGACTTGGCTTAGGGAAGCTGGTGTTTTCTGACACTGTGTCTAATCCCCTTTGGGGCCTGGAAGGTTCCCAGGAGCTGTGAATAGTCTCCAGGGAGGGACGATTCCAGGACCTGCCGGAGGCCCCCGGGCGCCTGTTCTCGAGGTGGCCGGTCAGAGAAGCCAGCCATGTAGCCCGGCACAGCCCTCGGCCTCCAGGCTTTGCCGAGACGCCTCCAGTTCCTGGCTCGTGCCGCCTCTGGTTTCTTCCGTTTGTTTCTCATTCGTCTCCCTCCTGACTCCCACCTCCTCAAGGGCGTCCCTGGCTGGGGGAGGAGCCGCTCTGTCCCCTTCCTCCCTGTCAGGTGTCACTGTACCTGTCGTCTCCCTGATACCCTGGCAGTCTGGCAGGGCAGGGCCACATCCGCCTGCCCACCACGGTGGCCCACTCACCCGGGAGGTGCCAGCACAAAGCAGGCCCCCTCAGCGTGCTGAATGAATGGTGGGGGTGAGTCTGGAACCTGGGTTCTGTGGTGGGGCTTTCGGGAAGCAGCGGAACCCCGGGCATGCTCTTTTCTGAGGCTCCTTTTCCTCATCTGTGAAAGGGTGAGAATTGGCAGTTAATTTACGGGACGGTGAGGTTTCTTAACCTCAGTGCTGCTGCCCTTTGGGGCCAGGTCATTCTTGGTTGTGGGGGCCTGTCCCGTGTGCTGTGTTCAGCAGCGTCTCTGGCTGCCATTTATTAGATGCCTTTACCGCCCCCACTCTAGATGTGACCCACAAAAACACCTACAGACGTTGCCAAGTGATCTCTGAGGTCAAGATGGCCCCGGGTTGGAGGTCCAGTGAGATAAAACGTGAAGCACCAAGGACGATATCTGGCATATAATTAAAATACTCTCTAAGCATTAGTTACTGTTGTTGTTAATGACCTGTTTACCCAGAGCAGTCAAGCTCCGGGCGCCCAGATTTTTCCTGAGTGAATGGATCTGAGTCATGGGACCCCACTTGGGGCTCATTGAGCTCCAGTGACGCAGCCCCGCTCTCGGTGAGGACCAACAGTGTATGAATTATGCTCCTCCCAGCCTAGAGGGGACGTAGAGCCTGTGCCCTGTCATGCCCGATGCCAAGTTAGTTAATGATGAGTGTGGAACACGCACGGCTGGGGTGCTGTGGTGAGCACGCGGGCTGTGGAGCCCGACGGCGTCTGTGAGGCCCAGCGCTGCCCTCACCTTCTCAGTGGCCGGGGCCAAAACCATCCAGCTTCCTTCTCTATAGGCTACGATGGTAGTGTGCCTACCTCCTAGGCTCTAGGTGAGAATTCAGCAAGTTAATGTATCAGGCTGCTTAACACAGTGTCTGGCCCATATTACACCTTGTAGCGTCTTTCATTATTATTATTGATTTGGCTTCCAGGTAGGTGTCTTTGTTTTTAATTTGCTTTATTTTTAATGTTTATTTTTGAGAGAGACAGGGAGAGAGAGAGACAGAGCACGAGCAGGGGAGGAGCAGAGAGAGAGGGAGACACAGAATCCAAAGCAGGCTGTGCTGGCAGCAAGGAGCCCTACGTGGGGCTCGAACCCACGAACCATGAGATCCTGACCTGAGTCGAAGTTGGATGCTTAACCGACTGAGCCCCTCAGGTGCCCCTCCGGACGGGTGTTCTTAGGTGAGAAAGGTTGGGTTCCCCTTTCATTCCGCAGCGTGTCATCTGGTGCTCTCAGCTTCTAGATTGATGCTGGTTCTCGGACGGCCCACGTTTTTACCCACTGGTGCTTGACACCGTGGCAAGAAATGGTGACAGGAATGAGACTGAAGCTCCCGGGGTGCTGGTTTTTGTTATTCTTCAGAAATGAGCAGTGCCTGTAGGTGGTTCTCATAGTATGGTGTGCATCGCAGTCGACAGCAGATCCTGAAGATTGCAGATGCCTGGCATGACTTCTGATCTAGTAGGTCGTGAGTTTTCGAGATTGGGCTGTTTTCTCTGAGACTCCACATTCGGTACGGATACTCACCAAATCTGAGGATCACTTGCAGATTTCCTTCTCTTTGATTAGACTTGAATTCGTATATGAGTGTATGCATGAAGTCACTTCTTCATTTAACACGTAATTCTTTATTGACCAGTTCTACATGCTGGTCTCATAAAGAATATGGTGGGAGAGATTGATGAGAAATGAATCAACTAACCAGAAAGTACAAGATAGCAACAAGGTCTGTGATAAAATAATACCTCATGTGAATACCTGGGGTCTTCTTGTGAAAGAGTAGTCAGTGAAGGCATCTCTGAGGATTGGGCTGGAGCCTGAATGACAAGAAGGTGCCAGTCATGGGAAGATACAGGGTGAGGAGAATTGAGGTAGAGGAAACAGCAGGTTCAAAGGCCCTGGGGCAGGACTGAGTCCAGTGGGCGTGGTTAAGTAGGGCCAGGGGAGCCTTGGGGATTTACCAGAGGAGATCAGATCATTAAGGCTTTGTAGGACCAGGTAAGGAAGTGAAATTTTATTTGAAGCCACTGAAGAATTTTAGCAGGAAGGTGATATGATGTGATTTATGTTTTTAAAGGATTGCACTGGCTGCTGCATGGAGAATGGATTTTGGCGGAGGTGGGGGGGGGGGTGAAGGTTTTCAGCCAAGGAGGCTTGAGTATGTTGCAGCCCCCAGCCCTATCGGAAATGATCAGAATTAAGCTCAAAAGTTCAACTTAAGTGAGGACAACAGGCGACGATTTCTAGAGACCCGTGGCGTCAACCACTGAAGTGATCCTGCCTAGAATCATGATGAGCTTCTGTATCCCCAGATTAGGCTTGCTTATTTATTTATATTTATTTGTTGAAATGTTTATTTATTTTAAGATTTTATCTTATTTTATTTTTTTAAATATGTGAAATTTATTGTCAAATTGGTTTCCATACAACACCCAATGCTCATCCCAAAAGATGCCCTCTTCAATACCCATCACCCCCCATCAGCCCTCAGTTTGTTCTCATTTTTTAAGAGTCTCTTATGCTTTGGCTCTCTCCCACTCTAACCTCTTTTTTTTTTGTTTTTTCTTCTCCTCCCCCATGGGTTCCTGTTTTAAATCTGACTCCTGCTGCTTAAAATGTCCAGTGAGTTCCCATGTGAAGATGTGGGAAAGTGGCCCTGGCAGCCTAACATTCAAGGTCGTTGCCCCCCCCGCCCCCATAAGGGATGCACTTCCCAGGGCTCCCCCCAGGCTTTGGAAAAGGAGAGCAAATAAAATGATTAATTGGCTCTTGGTTTTTACGACATTTCTATGGAAACTCTATTATGAAATCCTGGATTCTTGAGTTGTAGAAATACGCATTAGTTTCTCTCCATGGCAGCACGTGCCTCTGAGGTCATTGGGTCATGGCTCAGCCATCTATACTGTTCCCACGAGAGGTGCTGGGGCATTGGCATTGGACTTGGGGATGTGGGCTGGGCAGCTTGAGTATGGACCTCTGCTTCTCTGCTTTTAGCTGGATTTTCATAGATAAGCTCCTTAATCTCTGCATTTCAGATGTCTCATCTGCAAAATAAGGGTGATCATGGTATCTGTCTCGTGGAGTTATTGCAGAGGTCAGAGAAACAAATGCCTGTATAGCACCTAGTACACTCCTTGGCATGGGGTCAGCAGTCTGTGCAGACGAATACTTTTGGGTTTCCGTTATGCTCATCTGAAAGTCCTCTATGCACTTGCTTTGTGAAAGATGGTCCCTAGACCAGCAGTTGTATCCCACTGGGGGCTTGTCAGAGTCAGAAATGCAGAATCATAGGCTCCACCCCAGACCTGCTGATTTGAGTTTTTCACTTGAACAAGATCCCAGGTGATTCTTGTGGGCGTTGACATCTGGACATGCTACTTTAGGCAAAAATGTATATAGCAAGGAAAGCTGAGTCAGGTTCGAACATAGAAACCTGTTGCCAGCATTGTGTTGGTGCAAAGAGACATCAGCACCGGGATGCAAAATGCACTGTGACCCTAACAAGCTGGGTGTGTCCAACAACTGCATAAGCCCTTTGGGACTGTTTCTTCATCTGTAGAGCGACTCATCTGTGTTAGAAGTTTGTTGAGAGGGTAAGCAAAGTGATGTGAAAGCTGATAGCAGAGAGTGAAAAGTTATTTTTATCTTGTTTACACAGAAAAAGGGCATCATAATTTTTATAGCTGTTAACACAATTTTCAAAGAACCCGATCTCTCGTTTTCCACATTTGCTGGCCGAGAGTGGCAATGGACGAGACCTATTATTTGGTGTCTCGATGAAAATAATGGAGAGTGGCAGTGGCCCAGGAACGACAGCCTGGTATTTTTGGAAGCTAAATGGGAGAATTTTGTGGTTTGGCTAAAAGGCATTGCCCTGCAAGGGAACAAGATCCCAGTGATCACTGTGGTCAATGGCAGTGTTTATACCATTTACAAAATACTCAGAATTGCAGTGTAAGGTTTGATGATGGCCAGGTGTGGAAGTCACCAGGGCACTTCCCGGTGGTGTATTTTAATGTGTCACACGTTTAGCAGCCACAGAAGCCTTTTATTGTTTCCAAACATCACAATCAAAGCGAGAGCCCCACGATGTTGCTTATATTAGCAGGATGTCTTCAAGTACAAAACACAAAAACAAAAACCAAAAACCCACAGTATATTCCAGCATGAGAAAAATACACGATTGTGCACCAAAGACACGGCATATTATAGGAATCCATTGGTGGGGGCAGTGTGAGGACAGCCAGAAATTACAACCTGAAGCCGTCTAGGGCGGGAAAGGGTCTGACCGGTGTGGCCAGCACGCAGTGATGTATGGCACGTAGAGACAGTACCGGTCAGCAAAGCTCGCCCAGTGCTCACAGGATTGAATTGCTGCGCTGGTAAGGTACAGGCACGGACATCGGGGTCGCCCCCGCTTTTACAGCGTGTTGGACAAAAGGAGCAGTGAACCAAGAAGTTTCCCTTTCATAGGGTAGCATGCAGGAAGCCGTGTGATAGAGACACAGCTGCTACGAGCCAAAGCAGAGATTCCAAGAAAGCCCCGTGCATTTCCACGGTTTCTGAAACACTCCAAAGCTACCGTGAAGCAATTTCTTGAGATGCATGCCCATGCCCCCAATCCGTGATTCCCTCTCTTGCTTTAATGATGGAAAAGGAGTAATAGGAAATGAAGATTTTTTTTAAATAGGGAAAATTATACCTTAATAGCAAGGTATCAAAATACTTTGTACATAGGTATGTGTTGATTTTGCAAAAGCACTGTATCTGTCTTTCCTTAGGATTGTGAAAGCTGCCTTCGACTCAGTGCATAAGAACCCCCCAACAAAGCAGCAGCCAAAATAGAAGTGGGTTACATCCCCTTGCTAGTTTTCTTGGGGAGCCTGGTCTGGGGGTCAAGAAGAGGGGCATACATAGCATCGCTTCTTTGACACAGAGCTCAGTGTTTTTAGGAAACTGTTTTTACTGGAAACAGTGATAGAACAAATGCTCAGTCTCTTATGAAATACCGGCGAGGCCATCCGAGCAGCTGACAGCCAGAACTGAGACAGGTTTGCTTGGGAGACATCGGAACCCCTCTTAGAGTCAACGAGAGTCCTTCTGTCCGGTCTGGCTGGTGGCAGGGAGACATGGGGAGGAAGCTGGTGAGGGAGGTGGGCATTCCGGACCCCAGGTGCTCGGAAATGAATACGGGCAGCACCCTCCCTGCGTTCTGCTGGGGCCTCTTTGGGAAATCAGTGACTTACCCACTTTAGAATCCTTTCGGAAAGCCTGTCACATACCACGTCTGTCTGCAAAAGGCTTTGCAGGGGTAAAAGCAAAGAGGCATGGGCGATCGTGGCTGTTGGCAGATTTTGTGTCTTCCGAGTATTTCTTCTTCTTTTTTTTTTTTTCCTTCTAAACACCTTGGCCGGGCGCAGGGCCAACAGTGACCGAACCCATGTGCGCGTCCAGGGTCCCGGCGCCCTAGCCCAGGTTCATGCCATTGCAGCTGCAGAGAATCTCCTTAAAGGTGGTACGCAGCTCCAGGCTCCGGAAGGCGTAGATGAGCGGGTCGATGATGGAGTTGCACATGATGAGGACCAGGTAGGTGTTGAAGTGGGCGGTGTAACAGACGCAGTAGGGGTTGGTGGGGCAGGTGATGATGAGGACGAGGTGGAGGAAGAAGGGGGCCCAGCAGCAGATGAACACCCCCAGCAGGATGGTGATGGTCACAGCCCCCTTCATGCACGAGTGCTGTGGCGGGGCCGCCCCGTCGGCGGGCGGCAGTGCCGCGATGCGCTGGACGTGCAGCCGGGCGAAGAGGAACATGTGCACGTAGAGGGCGCCCATGAGGAGCAGCATGGCGAAGAACATGGTGATGAGGCACACGATGACCATCTTGCTCTCGGAGTAGATGATGAACACCACGCCACAGACCCCGCAGCTCACCCAGATGGCCGCGATCCAGGCGAGGGCCTTCCGTGCGGTCATGATGCTGTGGTAGCGGAGCGCGTAGAAGATGGTGACGTACCTGTCCACGGCGATGGCCAGGAGGTTGCAGATGGAAGCTACCAGCGAGATGCAGATCAGGGAGTCGAAGACGTTGTCCATGTGCTGGATGAGCCGGTCCCCGAGGGCCAGGGAGTTGCTGTTGACGACGGCGATCATGACGGTCTCCAGGGCGTTGGACACGCTCACCAGCATGTCCGCCGCCGCCAGGCTGCAGAGGAAGAAGTACATGGGCGAGTGCAGGTTGCCGTTCTTGACCACAGCCAGGATGACCAGGATGTTTTCCAGCAGGCTGACGATGCCCAGCGCCAGGAAGACCTCGGGCTTGATGAAGACCTGCTCGCAGAACCCGCTGCCGCTCTGGTTGCCGAAGGCAGGGCTGGCGGGGTGCTCGGAGCCGTTGGGCAGCGTTGGGTGCACAGACGGCAGGCAGCACGAGGCATTCATTGCTAACAGACGGGCTGATCCGAGCGGGGGCTCCAGCGACGTCCAGAGGCTGCTGCTGCTGCTGCTGCTGGCTGCTTCCTGGAAAGAAAAAAAAAAAAAAGAAAAATCTCCCTCCAGATGCTTGCTGTGGATGCCTGTCCAGTCCAGACCGAGGCCTGGTTCTCCCCCACAATAACAGGACGGAGAGAGGGAGAGAAAGTCAGCCTGGAGACAGACAGGAGAACTTTTCCTCTGCTTCTGCAGGACAAGCAGTTTTACGGACTCTCTTCTCGGTCGCCTTCCTTCTGTCTCCCTCTTACCTTTTCCCCACCTGGGAATGAAAAAACCCGCCTCTGGTTGCTACAGTTTCGGCTATCTTCATAGCAGGACCGGGGACGTGGTACCTGTTGCTAGGAGGGAGGGGTGAAGTCTCGGTCTTCATACGCTGGCTGCAGGCAGACAGCTCCTACTTTGTCTTCAGTGCAGTGAACCGACCACTGAGCATCGGACGCCTCTCTTGACTGGCAGCAGGTACCCGCTCGGGCAGGGAGATGAAGAAGCAGGCTGGTGCCCTCTGCAGGCCAGACTGCTCACCTGTGGGCTGGCTTGGCTGAGCACTTCGTATTTGTCATGGAAACTGCCACAGGCATCCATTCATCCAGTTTGTTCATTCATTTTTTTTTTTTTTTAAATAGCTGTCGCTTATGGAGCACCTACTCTGTGTCAGCTCTCTGCTGGGTGCAGGGGACATAGTGGTGAGTGAGACCTCCGCACCATCGCGGTTTCTCCCGGACTTGGTGGGTGTCCGAGGTGGGAGAAGGGAAATCAGGCCGGTGTGTTTCGTTGTGATGAATGCATGCTGATGGCGGCAGGGGGTGCTGGGGGGCGCGTGGGGGGTGGGGTTCCGGACCTGGATGGTCTGCGAAAGTTCTGGAAGAACGGGCATCTAAGCCTTGACTTGGCGGAAGAAGAGACCGTATCCCGTGGTGCGGTGTGGGCTGGGGTTGAAGGAGGTAGAAAAGGGTCCCAGGCAGAGGGAGTCACATGCCCCAAACCTGGAGACAGAGAGCACTGGCTCTCCACCCTGGCCGTGGGGATCATCATAAACTAGGGGCGTCAGGACCCACCTGACCTCCTGAATCAGGATCACCAGGGAGGGGTAGGAGGACCTGCACAGACGTGTGTTCAATTTCGACAGGTGAGCTGGGGCAGAGCCAGGATTGAGGTCTACTGAGAAGGGAGGTTGGGGTGTGTGTGTGTGTGTGTGTGTGTTTAAATTGAAGTACAGTTGACACACATTGTTATATTGGTTTCAGGTGTACAACAGAGTGACCCAACAAGCAGTGCTCGGCTCAGGGTCTGTAGTCACCCTCTGTCACCAGACAATGTTATTACAGAATTACCGACCATATTCCCTATGCTGTGTTTTTCATCCCTGTGATTTAGTTATTTTACAAGGAAGCTTGGTGTTTCTGAGGAACCGAAAGTAGTTTGGCCAGAGTGTGGAGTTGGGAGACACAATTTGAGAAATGAGAGTGCAGAGGTCTTTATTTCTTCTATTATTATTATTTTTAACATTTATTTATTTGGAGAGAGAACGAGTGGAGAGAGAGAGAGAGAGAGAGAGAGAGAGAGAGAGAGAGAGAATCCCAAGCAGACTCTGTGCTGTCAGTGCAGAGCCTGATGTGGGGCTTGAACTCACGAACTGTGAGATCATGACCTGAGTTGAAACCAGGAGTCGGGCGCTTAACTAGTTGAGCCACCCAGGCACCCCTGAGGTTTTTATTTTTAACAAAGGGTGAGAAGTGCCTGGATCCAGAGGGACGGTATCCACCATATGTGGGAGTTTGGACCGTCTGCTGAAGGTGGTGGGGGCCAAGGAAGGAGGGGCTTTAGGCAGTGGGGGGTGAAGGGGGGTCCATGCTGTAGAAAGACTCTAGGTTGCAGGGTGGAGAGCGGATTGGAAGCGGATTGGAGGGAACCAGGGAGGCCAGGGCTGCGGAGGCCTTTCGAGCTGGAAAGTGTGGAAGGCAGAATTTAGCAGTAGACTTCACTGCCTGGTTCATGTCATGTCTGGTGCTGCACACGAGGATCTTGTGAACTCGGGAAGCACAAATCCCTTTGCTCCTACACACACACACACACACACACACACACACACACACACGTGCACACACACACACGCACATTCCAGATGGATTTAGCGATCATCTGACTATCGTCTGTGTGTGGGTGTATAGAAGATAGAAGAAATATGCATAAGGAAATAGAAGAGCTTGTTAAATATTTATAAAACTGTGGAGAGATTTCTTAACAAGATGGTCAATCCAAAATTTAGAGTATGAAAAAACAGCACCAGAAGCAAAGCAAAAAGACAGGAGGAAAACATTTGCCGTAGACTACAAATGGTTACTGTCTCTTACAGAAAAAATTCTTTCAGATCAATAAGAAAAGAATGAATTACCTCTTAGAATATCGGGCAGAAGATATGAACAGAAAACCAGTGAAGAAGAAATACAAACGGATAATAAACATATGAAAAGATGTCCATCCTTCTGGGGAGTTGGAGAAATGCAAATCAAAAATGAGACTCCAGTACCATTTTTCTGGTTAGATTAACAAGAACTAAAAAGATATCAAATTCGGGAGAGAATATTGGGAGAACAGTCAGCAGGCACTCCTAAGGTTTGTGAATAGTCTCATTGTTGGCAGTTTGTACGAAAATAAAAGATGCGCCTGGGTGGGGACCTCAGTCTGCCTCCGGGTATAAGGAATACCACTTCTATTTATTCTCAGTAGAGCAACTTAATTTTTTTTAAGCTTATTTATTTGGGGAGAGAGAGAGCGGGGCAGGGACAGAGAGAGAGAGCTCGAGTGAGCGAGCAGGGAGGGGTAGAGAGAGAATCCCAAACAGGCTCCATGCTGTGAGCATGGAGCTCTATGTGGGGCTCAAACTCACAAACCGTGAGATCATGACTTGAACCGAAATGAAGAGCTTAACCGACTGAGCCACCCAGATGCTCTGAGCAACTTAATTTCTTATGTGAAGCCACTCATCTTCCTGGTTGGGGAAAAAGACAATCTTTATCCTTTTTGGGGAGGCCTCTCCTCCTCCCCCTCAGGACGCATCCCGGGGTGTATTCGTCCTGTCTTGTGTGTGGTTTCAGGGACACCCGTGTTACCTGCAAAGCCAGATTATCAAGCAGGGGACCGTTCCTCCTCTGCTGGGCCCTTCGCTCACTGAGCATGACTGAGTGGACGGAGCCTGGTGCTTCAAACCTGTGTCCCCAGAGGCACCCTCTCTGCTAATGAGTGTTGATTTTGTGTTCCCTAAACACAACCCCCCACCCCCCACCCCCTGCTTTCCTGGGGGAGCTGCACAGATGCCCCATTGCTTTTTAATTGAATCTTATCCATAAATGAGTTGGCTCTATTAATAACAATCGCAAGACGCGATAGGCTTCCACAGTGTTTCCGTCCATTGTTGGAAGAGCTGGGGGGCCCTGTTTTGGATGTCCTAATAAACTGTAACACGGAGAAGCTTGTCCTCATCCTCCTACCTTTCCTCTCTGCCCAAAAGGCTCTTCCCACGACTTCCTTGTACATGCATCTTACCCTTTAAGACCCGGCTCCGATGAGAACTGCCCCTTTTTTTTTTTTTTTTTTTTTTTAACAGCTTTCCTTAAATCTTAGGTACTTTATTCATTTTGTTGCCCCTTTAGCCACTACCTCCCCAGCCCCCACACTGACAGAATTCAGCTTTTCCTCCTCGCTGTCACGGCACGCGGAATGTTCTATAACTGGAAGTCACATCCCATGTCCCGTGCCACTAGACGGGGACAGCGTTGGCCAGAGGTCACGTTGGAAAGGATGATGAGATATTATCATTAACGCTGATTATTTCTGGGGAGGAGACGGCTCTCACGCCTGCGTTCCCATCCCCCAGCCTGCCCCTGCTTTCGGCCGCCTCTTGCCGGGCGGGTCCTCGGGAGCTCGGTGTCCAGTCGCTCTGCCGGGTCCCACGTCCGGGGCTTCCCCCACCCCCCATGGTGTCTCGGGATCTCCCCTGATGTGGGGGGAGCGGTGGTGACCCTCCCAGACTGATCAAGTTCGGTTTGGAAGTGAGGGGGGTGGGGGGACACCGTCTGGGGTGATGCTCCCCGAATAAGGGCTGGAGCCGCGGAGGGAATTCTCCGGCCTCCTGCCCTTCCGGAAGACATGCAGGGGTGCCCCACGTGCTGCCCACGGCTCCCTGCGGCCCTGCGCCCGACGGCTTCATTCATCTCTTCTCCCTTCTCCCTCACGCCCGCCCGTTTCCTGGGCTCCTCCCCCAAATGAGTGGCCTGCTCCCAAGTCTGTCACGGGTTCAGCCCCGAGGAGGAAGGGAGAGGACCCCCCGCTAAGGTGTACCGCACGCCTGCTGTGTGCCACGTGTCCGGGCTCTTCTCTCCCCTTGGTGACTTCCTCCAGGAAGGACAGAAGGCAGGGCCGTGGGCTGCTCCCCGGTACCGATTCTCCCCTTCTTCCTCACTAACGGGCTCCTCATTTACTGAGGACAGCAGCGTGCCTGGCCGACACACTCATTTCCCAGCCTCCCCTGCAGGCGACATGACCCGATTCTGGCCAGTGGTTGTAGGGGGAAGCCCAGGCAGGTGACGCAGCTAAGCCAACTAGCAGACCGAAGTAGCACACGCTCTTTTGCCCTTGACTGTTTTCCCTTTTTGCTGCCTGGAATGATGACGTGAAGGCTGGAGCTCCGTCTCCTGTTTTGTAAGTCTGAGGACAAGGGCCAGTTCCTTTGGGGGCCCCCAAACCTGGAAAGTGGCCTGAATCCCTGCTGACTTTACACAGAGGCCGTCAAAGTCCTGAACTGCTTGCCTCCAGGTTTCTAGTTATGTGATAGAAAAGCAACGTTTTATTTATGTCAGCTCTGGCGACGTGAGGTGTTCTGTTCCACACAGCTGCACAAAACGCCTGCAGCGTGACCATACTCCGCCATCTCTGTTTTCTGCCAGAAACCTGTTAGGTGCTTAATAAATGTTTGAAAGGAAGGAGCCCAGTGTCTTTCTCTTTTCCCACTCTGGACGATCTTA